GTGGGGGGAAGGGAAACAATTCAACCTATAATACCCACCTTCCCCTGAGACCACCACCCCTGAGTCCCTCCCAGTTAGAAATTCTGGAGCCACTCGTTTACTGCTACAGTCTGTGCTATAGGTCAGGTGTGTTGGACATACCAGCTCCTTTCATCTTTACAGCAACCCAGTCATCCCGGGATGATTGTCCCTATTTTAAGAAAACAGAGGCTCAGAGTATTTAAGCTGCCAGCTAGTAAGTGCAGAGCAAATATTTAAATCCAGCTATTACTGATTTAAACCCATATCTTTTCTACTATGACCTGCCATCACCCTAACTCAAGAAATGTTGGATCCTTATCATTGGAAGCAATTGTTTAAATAAAAATCCAGCTCTTTCACAACTTTCCACTCAAACTTAGTTGCTAGAACAGTAAGTATGATGGAGTTGGAGATGGAAAATATGGTGATAGAGATGGAAAATATGGTGATAGATTTTCTACAGACCCAAGAACATCTGGCCTGTTCCCACCATGCAATGGCAGTGACTTTGCAGTAGATTACAGGTTAGCCACGGGAGAAAGACCATCTGTCAATCAAGAAAGTGTCCCATTCCTTCAATAGATACATTTCTAAATCATTTTATAAATTGTACTTGTGTTCATCTACTTTTTTAATGCATTGGGGCAATTTGACTTTTAAAGGAATCTCATCTGTCATTGATTTCCATTTCTCTGCTCTTTAAATAATTCTGAAGCCTACCCCCTCATCATTATGCTCAATATCATGACTTTATTCACATCCACATTCTCTAACTTGCCTATTGCTTGGCTTCCAAATAGGTCTCTCCACCTCCAGTTTCCTCCCATCTAATCCACCCTTGACTTTGCTGTCTCATTCTGATGCTTCAAAGCATGTCTTTATACACTTAAAAAGTTTTATATTCAGTCAACAAACACTTACAGAGTGTATTCTGTGCCAGATGTTACTTGGCACTGGGATACAGCAGGGAACCAAAGGAACAAAAATTCCTGCCCTCAGGGAGCTTATAGTCTATACAGTTCATGATTGCCATTATTATATATCTTTCTCCTATATATTTTGTTACAAATCTTAGCAGATAAGAATAATGATGATGATGATGATGACAATGACATTGATGAGGGTTTTCATTTTATTAAACATTTACTTTGTGTCAACCATTATGCTAAGTGTTTACATACAAATTATGTTGTAACAACCGCTGTGGAAGTTATTATGATGCTGATTTTGTAAATGAGGAAATTGAGACTCAGAGCGTTTAAGTAAGTTCAAAGTCAGAGATAAAAAAATTGTTGGAGGCAAGATTTGAATCTGGTACTTTCTTCCTTCAAGGCCTTGGACACTACACTACACGTCTTCTTTCAGCTGTTCAAAAGGTTGCAGAGAAGGGAAAGACTTCCTCTAACCATTAAAGTTTCTTAACTAGAGGTCTGCTAATTAAACTAACAAAAGACGGATTAGCTAGAAGAGAAAACAAAGTTTATTTGCGGGTGCAATGTGCACATACATGGGAGTACTCAGTGATGAATAACTCAAGGAGCGGTTATAACTGGAAGTTTCTATACCATTTTAACAAAGGGTGATAAATTGTGGAGAAGTGACTAAAGAAAGGAAAAGGGGGTTCGGGCTTCTGTGGTGAGGTTAATTGTGGGAAGGTGACTAGGAAATGCATAAGGGAAACCAATGGTAGATAAGGGTTGCTTACACAGACTCATCTCAGTGCCATCTCTAGTGAGAAGAGTCACTCTCCTCGTTCTGGTATGGGAGAGGGAGGCACCTTTACAAAGGGAAATTTCCTTCCAAATGGAAATTCCATTTACAAAAGGGAAACTTATGCCCTACTTTTAGGCCGATGGGGGAGGGCAGAGAGCTCTGCCTGTGTCTGTTTCTTAATTGCCTTCAGTTCAAAATCATCCTATGCTAAAGTGGCATATTTTAGGGTAGCATATTTTGTTCCTCTTCAGGATTTATGAATAACTAAACCCTATTTAAGCTCTCTGTAAAGCAAATAACCACTGCAATAATCTGTTTATAAAATGACCATTTTTGTATATTTAGCTTACCTAAAGCAGCAATGGTTTGCTCTCCAGAGGACATTTGGCAATGCTGGAGACATTTTTGATAGTCACAACTGGGAATGGGGGTGCTAGTGACATCTAGTGAGTAGAGGCCAGGGGAACAGACCTCTACAACCCAGAGAATTAGCTGGCACAAAATACAAGAAGTGCTGAAGTCAAGAAACCCTGACACATAATGAGGCATTTGTAAACACTTAAAAAAAATTTAGACCCTTATTTTTCCTTTCTGTGTTTTAAAGTCTCTGACTGAATGTATTCTTTATGTATTGAAATAAATCTTGTTTATATTTTAAAGGCCTCCTCCCCTGCCATCTTTCCATTCAAATTTAGTAATGGGTTTTCAGGGAAAATTGTCTATCACTTGGATACTTTTTAAATACACATATTTCCAAGTTGTAAGTACCACTTTACTCAATTGTTTATGGAAACACTAACTTAAAAATCTAATCTAATGCTTTTATATAATTTAAAAATATAATTCATGTTCTGTTCTTCACATACAAAAATGATACCAAAGGCCACTGATAGTAGCCATTCCTCTTTAAACTGATTTACTGGTAATAGTAATGGGTCTGCACTGAGTCATCCGTACCTGCAAGTCGTCATCCTGGAAGCCATTTGGAAAGTGGTCAGCCGGGTACAGATATCTGGTCTGTGACTACGGAACAGTCATTCTTTGTGGGAAACTAAGTGATCAGTGTTTGATTCAAATCTGTGCTATTGGTCTTGACAGCATCATGTTTTCCTATTCCAAGAACTTTCCTGGCCTCCACAGTCCCGCTTCATGGTGTGACAGCCAGAGCATCAATTCATATGACAAAATGGAAGTCATATTCATTTAATCATTTTTCTTTTCCCTTAGATGTAGTCCTTGAAGTTCTTCTGGGTGGGGAGCAGCACTTGACGAGGTGAGCAGGTATGGCTTCGGGTAGACAGCACCCTGTTCCCTATTCTTTCCCCCTTTAAAACATCACAGGTCTGAAATTTATTTCTTCATGAAGTTGTCTGTTTCTTGACGATCATTAAAATCAATACACAGTTTTTGAACACCCGTGCATAAAAGAACGTACACTTTCTTAGCTCAGCCTAAATTTTTGCTCAACGACTGGAGCACCATAGTTGATTCACTACAAATGTTCTATAAAGCTGTAAGAGATTAAGCACACATCCTCAGTAAACATCAATGTTTTGATTAGACATATAATGTTTCTCCTAACGAATTTCTGGGTTTCCTCTGAAGTATCTTAAAAAAAATTTAAGGAGATCTTTGAATATAAACACAATCTTTCTTAGAGTTTTTATTATATGCTCATTATTCTTGCTCATTATTCAGTCGTCGTCGTCATCATGAAAAGTACACAAGATAATCTTGGCCAAATGACCAAGACAACCTCTGATCCACTGCACTGTTTCACTTAAGACAAGAACGGTTTAACTTGGTCATCTCTACAGAGGGAACACAGAACATTCAGTGTTAAATGCGACACCTATAATTAGGAAGACCTATGGTTATACCATAGCAGTTTTAAGGATGAGGTAACTTTGGGAGTGTTGAAAAAGCAGCAATTAATTAAAAGTTTTCAACGCAGTTTATTTACACCTCAGTACAGTATTCTCTGACACCCAGTATGCTCTGTAAAAGAAACTCCTGCTGTCTCTTGTCCTAACGGGTTACTGTGGCATGTTACTAAGGGTATAGAATTTGAAATAAAGAGTCCAAGTCTCTCTTACATTACTTCTTCTAACCTCACAGGCCCTTACATCACCTCCCTGGGATCCAAGCGGCTTGGAACAAATGAAGAAAGTCTGTGAACAGCCAGGGACCTAAGGAATCATGTTTCACTAAGAAAAAAATAGCAGGGTTACGATTAGATTAGGCAAGGTGGGAAAGGGATACTGGCAGGTAAAGCGCCGGAAAGTTACAAGTTGGGTTATTTTTTAACTGGCGTCCTACAAACGGCCGGCGTGTGGGTGTCTCACTCGCTAACTTGTAAATGAACGTCAAGTTCTCTTTAGTTGGGGGGGAACTCCTGAATCTGAGAGCCGGGCGGCGGTTCAACGACCCCGCCCTCGGGGTCCCTAGGGGGCATCTTCTGGAGAGCCTGAGTGTCTGGGGAGAAGGCGCAGGGAAAGCAGGGAGCGAGCGGGCAGGGACGCGGGCCCCGAAAGCCCGCACGCACCGGCCTTGCTCCCCTGGGGTGGAAACTTGCCGGGCCGCGAGCAGAGCGGGAGGGAGCGGCGGGGCGGCCGTTCCCCTCGCCGAGGCGGAGGGCTGCGCGCGCGAGGCTCGGGGCGCGCGGCGAGCGCGGCGGCCGCCGCCTCCTCCCCTCCCCGCCTCCGCCGGCGCTGCCTCCTCCCTCCGCCCGGCTCGGCCTCCCTCGCTCCCTCCCCTCGTGGCTGGCTCCCGCGGCGGCGGCGGGCGGGGAGGGCGTGCGCCGGACGAGAGGTGTCGGCGGCGAGGGAAAGGAAGTTTCAAGTGGAAGGTCGTCCGCCGGCCGGCGCGTCCTCCCGCTCTCCTCCGGCAGCATCATGGCGGAGCCGAGCGGCTCGCCCGTGCACGTCCAGCAGCCCCAGCAGGCGGCCCCGGTGACAGCGGCGGCAGCGGCCCCGGCGGCCGCGACAGCAGCGCCGGCTCCGGCGCCGCCCGCGGCCCCGGCCCCAGCCCAGGCGGCGCAGGCCGTCGGCTGGCCCATCTGCAGGGACGCGTACGAGCTGCAGGAGGTTATCGGTCAGTGCGGCGGGCGCGGCGGGGCCGGTTGAGGCCGGGCGGGAGGCGCGGCCGTGCGCGGGAGGGGGCGCGGGATGCTGGGCTCGCCTGCTTGCACGGCCGGGAGGCAGAGCGGCCGGATTCGGGGCCTACTGGCTTCAACAGTTTTTTTTTTTTTTTTTAAATGTATTTGTTCGTTCTGTGAGCGCTGATGCTGCAAGAGGTGGCGCGGCGGATGTGACTCGCAGTGCAGACGAGCCGCATGCTGCAAACTTTTATCTCCCGGATCGCCGGGGCGGCGGAGCCGGGGACCCGGCGACGCTGCCGCATCTTCCTCCACCCGCGAACCGGGGCCGCAGCCCGTGGCCGCTGGCCACGCGGGCAGGCAGCTGCGGCTGGGGTGGGGTTGCGGGGGCGCCGCCCTGGGCTTCCAGCGCCCCCGCGCCGCGCCCCGGGGGCGGTGTCCTGGGGGACTCTGCTGGCGCAGCCGCGCCTCTGCTCTCTGAGCTCCGCGTCCCTGCCTCCCGTCAGCTGCCTCTCGCGGTGGGTAACGGGGCCACGTAGGAGTCGCGGAGGCCCAGGTTCTTTCCCGAGGCCGGGGAGGATGCTGGTCTCCCTCCCTGACAGCCGCTGCTCCACGCCCGCCTTGCAGCCCGGCGCGCCCGGGTACCCGCCTCTCTTGGTGCCGGGGCGCGCCGCCTGCCGCCCAGCCTGGCCGCCCGGGGGAACAGGCGCCCTGGCCTCCTGCCCTGCATCGGGCCGATGCTTCCCTCTGGTCCAGGGCCGAGCTGCAAGAGTGAAACCTGAGGCTGTCGGTGATCTGCTCTCTGCTTTTAGGTGCCTTCTAGTCGGCTCGCAAATAGCACCTTATCTTACATTTTTAAAAACCTGGCAAAGTCGAACGGCAAGAAGCCCGCGTTACATTTCCTTGGGCCACGCACGTGAAGGGCCAGGTTTGTGTTGACCCCTCACTTAGAACCTTCCCTTTTGGATCAAGCTCTTTGAGAGTCTTTTTTAAACCCAGTTAGGGAAGCCTCCAGGTAAAGTGGGCCCTCAGTTCCTAACCGTGCTGGCGCTTCGATGGATGCTGCCTTCCTATAGCTTGATGTTTAAATAAGGTGATGCAAAAGGAATTCAGACTATCTTATTTCTTTGCTTTTCATTTAAAAAAATTCTCCACCCCTTCCTTTTAAAAAATTAAAACATATAGGGGTTTCATTAGGTATTCAAATGAGCCTTTATCACCTGTTACTATGTGAATGAAACATAGCATAGATGGAAATGTATAGATATTTCATATAAAGGAAGAAATGACACATATATATGAGGAAATGATGGGCAGAACAGTAACCTAGGATATAAAAGCTTGTAATAATCTAAAATAGGCATCTTTACATGAAATTCTTTGAAAACCCAGACATATCATAACTTTTGGCCAAAGACTCAAGGGAAGAGCCTTCGTGTCACTGTGTGGATTAGGAAACTTCAGGGCTTCTCACAGCCTGGAGTATTCAATAAACCCCTCTAACCTGCCATGTAACCCCCTTCATTTTTCCAGTTTTGCCACCTGCCCTCAGCCTGCTTGCCCCCTCCCTGCTCTGCTAATAGTCAGCTGTCCTAGGACACACCTGGTCTTCCGTTCCTTGCTGCCTTTGCACAGGCTCTTCTCTCCTGGAGGTACCCATCCTTGTAATGACTCTCACTTGGCTTCCAGGGTGAATGTTCCTTGAGAAGCTTTCTGCTTCTCCTGGGGCAAAGTGTGTTGGCTTCCCGTGCCTCTCTTTTTACTTACTTCTTAGCGGGCAACCCCATAGTTTTTATTTGTACAACAAAATCTGAGGGCCTGCAATGTCCCAAGCATTGTGTGAAGTGCTAACAGTATAGAAATTAATAAAAAAGGTTCCTGCCCTCAAGGACTTAATGAGTTTATGTAAACGATTCTATAGGATGTGGTGAGTGAGCCCTGGGAGAGCTCGAAGGAGGGAGTGACTGACTGCTGGGAGAAATAAGGAAGCAGGGTTTTCCACAGAAGAAGGTATAGTGGAGCTGAATTTTGCAGTCCGAGTTAGAGTTTGTGAGATGCTTAATTATTTCCATTGCTGCCTTCCCTCACTAGCGGTGAACTCCAGGGTCTTAGTGTCGCCTGTCTCCAGCATGTAGAAATGGTCCATAGAAGTTGAATGATGGTATCTGCCACATAGTTTTCCATAGGGCCGGTATCGAAATTTACTTATAAATCAGTTTATATGCTTTTTTTTTGTTAATTATTAGGGTTAAAATGCATGCTTTGCTGCATGAAAACATAGAATTTTGAGTTGATGAGTTTTATGAACTAATGAATAAAATGTTATTTTTAGTTTAGTTTGAGTGATGGGACTAATGGCAGGGCTTCTTTCTGCTTACAGTAACAGTATTGTTAATTATGGTTGGTCAGCTTAATAAAAAACAAAGAAAGAAACTTACCTGAGGAATTGGAGAACAGAAACACCTGCTTATTACTTCTATCTCGATTTTTGCACATTCACATTGTAGGAAGGACTTTTCTGCATTTTAAATTGAGCTCACATTTTTCCAACCAAAAGAGATGGCCTGTGTGGAGGCTGTTATTGAAAAATCAAATTCCTCAAATAGGGTTTTGCAAGGGCTTAATGTTTGTAGGGAATTACAAATCCATTTCCATTTAGCGTTTAAAGCTAGTTGAGTAATTAAGAGTGAAGCTGTGGGTAAGCACTTTTGCTTAAACATTACACGCAGAAGTTAGTAGTTCAAACACTGAACCAGTTTTGACATGAATGCAGGTGGACAGCCTTGCCTCTCCCCGCCATACGGCAGGTGTCATATGATAGGGCTCCGGCAGTGTGAACCGTGGCCAGCAGGAGGCTCGGATGTACCTGATCGGAAGGCCAAGGGATGCAGGGTGTTTTAACTTTCTAACGTGGCACGGAGCACTTTTTCTTCGTTTCCTTCTGGGCAGAAGTTGGGGCCTCAAGATTAGGAGAGAATAGGTTTACTAAAGTCGAAACAAAGCAGGTTCTGTTGTTTGACTTCTGTTTTAGAAAAATAAACACAGGATTTTGCAAGTCTAAAAATAAAGTTTTCTCTCTGTTGTATTGTTGTTCTTGTGTTTAAAAGATCTTGTGTGGAGAATTTGTAATGCTCTTAGGGATAATCTGGTTCAGAAGTTGATGCAGGACCTGGAAATGGTGTAAAATCTGTTGGAGGGAGCTTTGTACTTAGAAAGGGGTGCACAGTGTTGTGAAATTATCAAATTCCTTCTTTGAACCATCAATATTCTTGTCTAGTAGAGTTCAGATATTTCTGTCTGCTAAAGAAGTAACTGTTCTTCCAAGATGTTCTAGCCTGTTTATACTCTTCAGCCTCATTGATCTTCGTTCCTCACACCCTCACCCCCGCATCTCACCCTCAGAGCCCTTCTTTAGAAGTGTAAGGGGCACCCAGAGATACGCCAGTTGAAAAATCAGTTTATTTGTTGATGATAGTAACAGTATCACCTTGATTCACTGAACAAAGAATAAAAGGTGAAGCATATAAATGTTGACTTGGGCGTCCAGAATAGAATTGAACAAACTTAAAGGACTTTTCTGTCAAAGAGTTTTAGTCATTGCCATGATCAGTTTTTGTATTTGAATCGGGTAATTCTAGCACTGGCTGTTATCTTTGCTGAGATTCCTCAGAGAAACACTAAACAGACTTGTGCCTCAGAGTATGTTTGATTTTCTTAGATTTTTTTGCAGGATGAGCCTTTAGTTTTGCACTTGATCTCTCAGTATGGTCCTTTTGAATAATCTGACAGTAATGCGTTTAATTTTTGGTCCTAGTCAACATAAAGGATTTGGTTCCCAGACTCCTAGCCATAGTTTGACTGAGGGTTCTCCGAGGACTGTTTATTTCTCTCCTGTGAGTCTTTGTTAATGGTTCAGGTGCATTTTTCCCAGGCCCAGGTAATAGGGCATGTGGCCAGGACTTAAGGGGCAACAGCCTTTTCTAAAATGAGAACAGCAAGCAGCCCAGAGCATTCCTGCTTTGCTCTGTGCTCTCAAGAGTTTCTCCAGTTTGATGTTTGATTCACGTTCTAGGAATCTTGAGGATGGTGGGAGCTACAGTGTCGCACGGTCATTTCTGTAGGACCTCAGAGAGCTGGAGCACTGAGTGTGTGTGGTGATCTCCCAGACCTTTAAACTGGGCTGCTTTGCTGCTGCTGTTAGTTTAGCTTTGTTTTGTAAATTAAAAGAGGCCTGAGATGCTTGGCCTAAGACAGGGCTTTGGATTTTAATATCGTTTCACCTTTTTTTTTCGTAAAGAGAAAAATATATATAGAAATGTTCTTTTTGTATTTTTTTGTGGTGAAATATACGAATATACATAACAAAGTTTATTGTTGTAACCATTTTTTTAAGTGTACAATTCATTGGCGTTAATTACATTCACAACAGAAATGCTCTTTTAAATGTGCTGTTCAGGGGCTGGCCCCGTGGCCAAGTGGTTAAGTTCGCACGCTCCGCTGCAGGCGGCCCAGTGTTTCGTTGGTTTGAATCCTGGGCGCGGACATGGCACTGCTCATCAAACCACGCTGAGGCGGCGTCCCACATGCCACAACTAGAAGGACCCACAACTAAGAATATACAACTGTGTACCGGGGGGATTTGGGGAGAAAAAGGAAAAAATAAAATCTTTAAATGTGCTGTTCAAACTACCGTGTGGGAAAAATCTCTAGGTGAAAAGAAACTCACGGTAGAATCACTGCAGTACTTGCTTGATTTATACATTTGATTTGCGACCGATAATATCTGGAATTTTTCCCTGACTCTTATAGTCTGTTGTATACTACATTTTTCATGGTGTTTGAGAATAAATTAAAATGTTTTGGGCTCTGGAGTCAGATGGCCTGGTGCATTTCATATCCTGGCAATGGCAGTCCCCGGCCTTGTGACCTTGAGCAAATTACTTAGATGTGTCTGCACTCAGTTTCCTCATTTGTAACATGGAGGTGATAAAAACAGGGTTGTGAGGATTGAGAGAATGTGAAGCCCTCAGAATAGCACCTGGCACAGGGCAGGCTCTCAGTTAGCCATAGCCGAAACTACTATAAACTGCATTTGCTAATCAGATTCAGGCAATCAGGAGAGTTGCAGTCCTGTCTTTGGCAGGGTTTTGGAGTGGCTTGAAGAGTTTCTCCGCTTGGTTTCTACCAGGGAGGAAGCAGGCGGGAGAGGTTGCCTGCCAGTCTCCTTCTTCCGGTGGGTGGCTGGAAGGTGACTTGCAGGAGGAGCCAGAGGCCCACGTGGGGCTGGCTTCCCCTCGCACCTCTACTGCAGGGAGGAAGCTGAAGAGACCTGTGGAGCTCCTGGCGATTTGGACAGCTCAGAGGTTTAGGTGCCAAATGGCCCTCTGACAAGTAGTGAGAGCATCCTGCAGGAAGGTTGCTGGGAGGAACAGCCCATTATGAAAGGGCTCTGAGAACAACCTGCTAAGACTGCACTTTTCTTCCACCTCTGAGTTTGCCCTGCGGAGGCTGCCATGCTGGCAGGAAATGCTGCTGACTAAAAGAAATATTCGCTGTGTGTCCCAGAGAGTAAGAGGACAGGGGCATTTGTTTTCAGATAAAGTCATCACTACTGCTCCCCTTTCCACTTCCTTCCCTCTCTGCTTTATAAATATTCCCTCAGTTTATAAATATTCTCAAGTCTCTCTCTTATCTTTAATAACAAAAGAGAACAAAACAAGACACTCTCACTATTCCTTCCTTCTCTAGATACCACCTTATCTCTTTCCTTCCTTTCACAGCTAAGCTGTTTGAGAGGACCTCCCACTACTCAGCCCACTGCAATCTGGCTTCTACTTTCTTGCTAAGAAACCAAAGTTGCAATCTCCACAATCACGGTGACCCTTGTGTGGCCAGTGCCAGTGGACACTGCAGTCCTCTCTCTTCCTC